TTTTGCTTCTTGTCATTGCACACACCAGTTTAAAATCTGCAAATCAGGCATTTTGTAATTTTGCATATCAATAAAATAATATGGTATTTCACAGGATGTCTATTGTTGACTGGAAAGCATAATGTTAATAAATAAATGTAAGACGAGAAGGAATCCTTGCTAAAAATACACTGGTGATTAGTGGTCCCTCTGAGCAGCAGAGTTTGGTATTGCCTATTTAGATATTATGATTTTTTGAATGATGAATTTAGTGATGTTGCACAAATAAGGTGTATGAAGAACTTGATGCACTTCTTTCATATTGTCTATAGGTACTATGGGAAAACGTTTTTCCAACATCAACTGTGAGAATATTGAAGAGAACGTCGTCAGTATCGTCAACTTTTATTCTCTGCCGGCAATGAAGTAAGCAACAACATCAGTGGTGTCATTCTATTCCATGAGACTTTCTATCAGAAGAACGATGAAGGTGTACTCTTCACTGATTTACTCAAAAGCAAAGGAATCATTCCTGGTATCAAGGCGAGTACACATATATTAATCTTGCCTCAACAGTTATCCACAACTATTTGCTACAGTTGTTTAAAGATTATATAATACTTGTATATGCCATTTGGTTTTGCCTTTTCATAAACATTTTAATGTAAATATATTTGGCATCAGTTATTTCCACGTCTGTTCATCTGTTACTAATTTAAGACTTTTTTAGGCAGATTACATGGTTTAGATACAATGATTTTAAAAGCATGCTATACAATTTTAAGCCAGCTGAAAGCTTAACTGAATTCTTGGTTGCGTTCGGAACAATGGGAAATTGCAAACATTGCCTTATTGGTGTCCCAGTCAACTACTCTATTTTGCATAGAATCAACTTTGTCCAACACCATGACACACTATTTTATACTCTCAGGTTGACAAGGGTGTAGTACCTCTTGGAGGCACCAACAATGAATGTACAACTCAAGGATTGGATGGGCTTGCAGAACGCTGTGCACAGTATAAAAAAGATGGAGCCCAGTTTGCCAAGTGGCGCTGTGTACTCAAGATTACTGAACATACTCCTTCACATCTAGCAGTTATTGAAAATGCTAATGTACTTGCTCGTTATGCAACTATTTGCCAACAGGTAGGTGCATTTAAACTTGCACTGTAGAAATTGCTGTACAACTAGTTTTTGCACAACAGTCTGGTACCAATATTTTTGGGAGTGAAACTAGGAGTTTGTACTCAGACTTTGAGCCTTAAAGTTCAGTAATTATTGTATTTAAAACTGCAGCTTTTATCGTGTGCTTATATCTTGTTCTTTTAGTATATACATGTAGTGCTTATATTTGATGTTATTCCTTACTCATACAGAATGGCCTGGTTCCCATTGTGGAGCCTGAGATCTTACCTGATGGTGAGCATGATTTACGTAGATGCCAGTATGAAACAGAGAGAGTACTTGCATTTGTCTACAAAGCTTTGGCTGATCACCACGTGTTCTTGGAAGGCACGTTATTGAAACCAAATATGGTCACAGCCGGTCACAGCTGCACAACCAAGTACACAGCCCAGGATATTGCATATGCTACTGTGACAGCTCTCTCCAGAACTGTTCCAGCAGCTGTTCCAGGCAAGTGTTCATTACCCCATTCATACCTTTGTTTCAGTTTTGGTTTGTGTGCCCTCAGAACATACACGCAGATCAACATGCAGACATCAGTGTTCTGGCTCTGATACACTTTTGAAGTACTCGTGTACATACCTCATAGTAGAGAATATTTGATAATAGCTGTTTTAAGTAACTATTATGAATAGCTATAATACCCTATTCTTTGGTTGTTTTTTTTTTAGGCGTCACTTTCTTGTCTGGTGGCCAGTCTGAGGAAGAAGCTACTGTCAACCTGGATGCCATCAACAAATGGCAAGGCAAGAAGCCATGGTCTCTCTCCTTCTCATATGGCCGGGCTCTGCAAGCTAGTGTGTTGAAGGCTTGGCAAGGAAAGAAAGAAAACATCAAGGCTGCTCAAGAAGAGCTTCTCAAAAGAGCCAAGGTGAGTTAAGAAGGTTCAAGCTGAATTGAAAATCGTCTTTTTCTACGTGTTTTTCATTATTATATTTATCATAGAAAAATTGGCATTTTTACAGTGATTTGTATATTGAGTGTTTCTTTATATCTCGGTATTTCCCTCGATGGCATGGAAATGTTGTGTATTTTGATGCGAAACCTAATGTTAAAACATTTTTAAAAATATTGATTTAGTCAGTTTCCTTTCATGATGCGTTGCATACATGTGTAGTAACATTTGAAAATCTGAATTCACCTTGGACACAGGGACTTCGTTGAGAACCATGCAACTTGTTTTCTGCCTTTCTATAATAGTGTTCCATTCTTTTCCAAATATGGGTATAGATCATAAGATGTTAGAATAGAATACTTTTTTAATAGTGTGGCTTATGTTCTCAATGAGATCCTTGTAGTCATTGCCATCAGCTAAGGTATTTTTCCTCCAGATAAATATGGGGGGTGGGGGTGGCTGTGTGTGCAGTGTTGTGTGCAAGTAATCTCTGCTGAATTACAAGCACATGTACACATGGTTTGGGTTTGTTTCATACATGGTGTCGACACTTATTTAATAGAACATTCATGTGTCTAAGAATGATTTGTAATTTCTGACACACAATTATAAATTTGGATTATTAATGCGTTTCATATGTTGTATTTTTTTTAAACAGGGAAATGGTGCTGCTGCTCTGGGCAAATATGAAGGTGGTGTATCTGGTGCCAGTGCCGGGGAATCGTTGTATGTGGCTAACCATGCTTATTAACATGCATGACATGAAGAAAATTCAGACAGATTGTAGCTTTTATCATTGTTTTTGATGACTTGTGTAGATAAATCATTGTATTTAATTTAATCAGTATTTCATGAAAATAACTGCACTGTTAGATTCATAAGGGCATATACTGATGGCGTTGTAGTGCAGTTGAGGAGTATTACTTATGTTTGCTTGTGTTATAATTTTAATTATATTTTGATGTCATCACAATTGGGGAGGGATGAATGTAACTTGTGTACATACTGCATTTTCAATGTGAGATGAGCTATAGTGGGTGGTGAAACCAAGGAATACACTTTTTTTTTATAGTCTCTGCAATAAGCTTTCCCCAGTTTATATGATTTGTCGCCTTCATGTCGTAGTGCTCATACCGTTTGGCTTCATCAGCATAATATCCATGTTACATTACCATGTGAAACTGATGTGTAGACTTCTTGAGGGGACAATCTATCATTTATGTAAAGTGATGCATCAACTCGTTCATGGTGATAAATAACCATAATTGTAACCATTAACTTTGTACAATGCACTTGTATTGAGCATGGATTGTTTGTGATGAGTAGACCAAAGATAAATAAAATACATTTTATTTGTTCTCCTGTCTTGTATTTGTGAACGTTTTCTCATTTGAAAGAAAAAATAATGGTGATTCGAACAAACGTGTATGGCAGAAAATGAAGCAAAGTACTTTAAACGCTACTCGTGCTTCTTGACCAATTTTCCATTTCAGGAATTTACCTACACTAAATGTTTTGATTTGTTTTTAGTCCCCTTTGGGATGTAGTGAGGTAAATGGGAAATTTAATTTTGAGTCTGTTCACACATTTCAAGTCTGGGTGGATCACATTCAAACTTCACACTAGTCCTGTAAACATGCGTACATGTATGGTTCATAATTTTAGATCTGGTGTAGAATGGCAGCCATTTTGTTTCACCATGTTTTGTTCTGGTGCCATAATTCAGACGTACTGTGATCAATCTCAGTTTCATGATCCAATTAAAGATGGTTACAATTTTATCTTGCATTTCTTGGAATAGAACTTACTAGTGTTAACAAGTTTTATTCACATGCTTTGAACACAAGATCTTATTACATATCATTTTCACCCCATCAGCCAATTCAAAATGGCTGATGCATTTTATTTTTCAACAAATGCTGTTCTAGTGCCTTGACAGATGCACAGAATACGGGCTGGTGTCTGTCAGGACATAAATGTTAAAGTTGTATGGGCTTTCGTACAACCAGTAAGAACAGTAATCTAGTCAACATCCATTTATTACTTTTTCGACTTCTTGAAAACTACCAGCCTGATTTCCCTGTACCTTGAGAGACCTCTCAGGCGTGTCCATTTCATATCATTTCCCAAGGCAGATTGCTTTGATATTATACATACACAAGGACCTCTCAGATTTATTTGGTGATGGTATTTGAAATGTGTATTGTTTAGAGGCTGCTTGTATATTTGATGGTGCCAACAATCATCTCTAATCAATCTTTATAGTGTAATATGGTAATAACACACATCTGTCAACAAAAAGGCTACAATAAACTAATGGCCAACAACTCATTTTTCAAATATGCGCAATGACACACTTCAAGTTGCATTCCTGTACTTGCACATAGGTACAAATTTGACTGGGACTGCAATTTTTAATGACTGGTCTCAAATTTATACAACTGATCAGGTTTTACTGTACTAAGAAAACCCAAAGATTTGGTTTGAACTATGAGCATGCACAAGTCTTTGTTGGCACCCTGTGCATTGAGCTATCTGGGGGAACCGTCAGGCTTTTGAGCCATTTAATTTCATAGTTATCTTTGTTAGATTATAAATATTCAAGTATGCAAATTGGGTGAACAATGACCACAAATTCCAAAAGGTCCTAAGTACATAATTCTGGCAAAGGATATAGTGATTACAAGTGTACATACATCAGAGTCATATCAGGAGCACTTGTTCAGATAGACATTCATACATGGGAGGTCATGGTTGTTATGTTGCCGAAACCTTGATTCTTTCATACTTGTATACTCATTACCTGTTGTTGCTATGGATACCCATTCACATACACATGTTGCTCACCTTTGACATATGAATACATGACCCTCACCCAAATTCTAAGAATGTTATTTCTGCTTGAGTAGGTCGGGTGGTCAGCATATTTGCAATGTACCAATAAAAGTCTGCCCTAAATAACTTATAAACAGCACTTGAGATATCTGAGACATTCAAAAAACAAAACAAATCTGTTTATTCATTTCTTGCATGGCTGTAGTGTCAATTACTAGTATCAACTCTTTATGAATGCTTCACTGTGACATCCCATTATTTTCATATGATTTCTGACAGAGATTTGCAAGTGACTTCAGCAGCTTACTAGTCAGCTAGTTTGTTCAGTCATTGTTGTACACTGTTACTTTGCAAATGTAGTATAGTTATAACCAATATTTTCTCTCTCTGGTGATATGAATGAAATGTACATCCTATGGGGGGAAAAAAAGTAATAAATATTTTATTTCTGAAAATTGTTTTTCTTTTCATATGCTTACTGTAAAATACTTTATTTTCGCTTGGAATAAATTTTCGCTGAAGTAATGATTCAGTGAAAATAAAATCCAGCGAATTTACCTTTTTTCCTATATTTTACATTCAACTTGCCAAAAATCAGTAATAAATTCCATACAAAACACTCAATAAGTCTTTTCAGCTAAAATAAAGTATTTCACAGTATGTGCACTTCTATGAGTGATTCT